TCTGGATTGCAGCCGATCCATCTGAGAATTACATGGAGGGGAACCAATGTATATCACCCGGGAGAAAGAAAACTCTAGTGATCTATAAAAAGTACATATGCACTGGATTCAGAAATTTTTGAAAGTTAGCAACATTGTCCTAGAGTAACGATTACCCAAAAGACATATATCTTCAAACTATCTTAAATTCTTAAGAACTTCCGTGGTTTTTCTTCCTTAAGCGAAGAAAACTCAGTGAAAACTTAAAGGAATAGCATTGGTTTATTCTTCTTTAAAAAAATAAAATGGGGACGGAGATTATTAAATACCACAGACGGGATACGTGGTTTGGTAGTTTCACTGTCGATATTATGAAAATTGTAATGGCACAAATTTTTCAACACATGAAAAAGTTTTCCTCTCTTCCCACCAGATTTTCCTCCTCATCCTCCTCTTTTTCTTCAAATTCCTCTTCTTATTCTTCCGCTCTTGTTCTTTTTCGTATTTCTGTTCTTTTCATAGTGTTCCTGTTCCTGTTCCTCTTCTTGCTCTCGTTTTTCTTCTTCATCTTCATCCTCTGTCTACTTACCTAGATATGATGAAGCCACCTCTCCAAGACCTGACCCATATGAACCTTTGCACGCTCATTTGACGCATTAATTTCAATTTTATTTTCTCGTTCTTTAGAAAAAATTTATCTCCGCAGAAGCTGTAGCATGAGGCAATTTCCCAGTCGATGGCACTATGTTCCATCTGCTGGTAATTATGTTCACCCACACTGCAAGTTGCAGAACTGAAGTTATGCTATTTAAGACTGCCACGGTAAATGAATATCTGAAAAATTTTTATGTTGTGCCTTCGTGTTTAAATATTCGAATGGCTTCATTCTTCATCGGCGATTACTGCAAAGACCACAACAGGGCATTAAGCATCAAGTATTGATTAGCAATCTATGATCTCACCAGCTTCTAATCGCAATCACCATCCACCGAAGACCGTCGTCGATGATGTCAAGTTTTGCATTATTTCTTGAACTTCGCAATATTTTTTGAATTCAAGTCATGTATTGGACTGAGCAACGCGCGTAACATGACTTTGGCTCAGTGCAAAATAAAGGGCAGAAAATTGAACAGTTTTCTCAACCAGAATATTGCTGATCATAATATAACGAGACAGTCATGGTTTATGCGCTGATTGATTGAGCTGTGCAGTTTCTGGATTTTTTTCTATTATCATTATTATTTTACTACACTTTACACGACAGACTTTTAAATGTATTAATATTTGCAAATGTATCTTGAAAATTCTGCCTTGATTTGTGATAGCGAAGATAGCAGTAACTGTCAAATTTACGAAACAGCAAAATTCAGCGTATTTTTGACATATGAGAGAGCCGTAAGTGCACATAAAATGACGTAGTTTCAGGTAAAACAGCCGTAAGTGACATTAATCCTCCAGAAAGGAAATGAAAACAGTGCTTTCAAGTAAAATTCTGCTCTCTTCTGCCGATTTCTAATCTGAAAAAATGTCTGTTTTGTGGCCAAAACACAATCACGAAAGCATGCAGAAGATAGCACTTACGGCAGCTGTCTTGCCTTACACTAGCCTAGCATGAGTATGGAACATACCCTTTTTCATGTAAGTAAAATAAAATCGATCGATTTTTAATCATCCAAACGATTTCTAAGAGTCTTTCGAATGATTGATGACAAATTTTACAAAGAACAGAGGCGTGCTTTCAATAAAATTTTCCGCTCGGACGCTTCGGCGCCCATATTCACAAAACTTCTGATTTGCACTCTTTGCAACGCGTTGTTGGCTTGTTTTTTTATGCCGATGTGCAGGCCATGCAGAGAGGGAGGAAATCAACGACTAATGAAAGTAGTGTCATAGATTTTCTGGAATACGTCCGCGTGAATTTGATGGGTCATCAAGTAATGATAGCTCTTTGTATGAAATTAGCAACATATACGTAATACAAAGATCCGTGAATCTGTTGCACAATCAATTATGCGCAATCACAACTAAGGTGATGTAGGAGGCAGTCAAGAGGACCATTGAGATTCCGGGTCCTGGCCAATAATTTAGTCTTGGAATCTGGTTTAGATATTGGGTAGGAAAATGGGAAAAGTTTTGTGAAATACAGAAAATAATATTAGAACTTAATAGTGACGGGCTCCGCATAAAAAAGGGTCAAACTTATGTGATGCAATGTTCATTTTTCATCCTCCATGAGTCAAATGCTTCATCAGATATTTGACTGTTCAATCCACATAGGATAAAAAATTTTTAGGTTGTAAATTTTATTTTTCATCGCCTCTCTTCGGCCTATTTTCTTCGAATAATTACTATGGTGTACGGCTATTCGTGACTCCATACTGGAGTTGGCGGCAGACATAGTTTACAACGCTTTTTGTGTTCGATGCTCATTTCAATACTACAGTAGATTTCTTGCCTGACTTGAAGGTTAACCGGAATAACCGCTCTCCGTTGCTCCATTGAACGCCACTTGCCCTGTGAAATGTTGCAACTCAGGTTTAGTGGCGAGGCGTGAATGGTCGATTATGGATATTTTCTCATTTGAAGCTATGGTAAAGAATCGATATTTAGGTTATTCGCTGAGAACACCCTGTTTATCGATCCTTTTCCATAGGTTCAACTGGCAGATTAATCGATATATCGCAAAAAAGCACGCTACGCCACTGCAGGTTGATATGCATCTTCATGAGCACGATGCCGCAGCCGTTAGGTAATGACAGTGGCATTATTTTCGATATTTTTCTTCTTTTTCTTTCATTCTTTGAGCTATTGTGAGTAAACCAGATCCAACATACTTGTGCCGTTTTCGAATCCCTGCACGTGAAAAATAACATGAGCCAAATTTTATGAACAAAATGCATCGTATTAATATCTTAATAATTTAGCAGTCATTGAAAAATTACCAATTACAGATGCATACGGTTCACCTTACTTCCTCTCGCTTTACGACCTCCGACCGTCGTTTCTGAATTTTTGTATCGAACTTAGAAAAATTAATGTGTTTTTTTTTTCTTTTCTTTTTTTTATCCTGTTTTTTGTGGGAACATTTTGACCAAAATATATGTACTCAATTATTTTTAAGACACCTCCTCCATCATAATTGAATTCAGAGACAAGAGCTTTATTGTATAATGTGCAGAAAAACCTTGGAAACTCTCTGTCAACCTAAGTCCCGTCCTTTTATTCAACAAATGCTCTAAATTGTGGATTTGTGTGGGAATTTGCACATGCTGGTAATAGTTTTATCTCTCTACTTTGGGAGTTTGCTTTCGAAAATCAATCGTTTAGAATGGTCATTTCAAGAGATTTCCGGTCCTCATGTAAATTACTAGGTCAATGACCCAAGGCAAGTTGTTGGTTACCACCCAGATGATTTTTCAGGATATCAAAATTATTCTCTAAATAGATTTCTCATGCGGGCACATAGAAACTGCCTACACTATCACCACTTTTACAAGTTTCACTGTGCAATTTTAATCAGGTGAAAACTCGGGAATGGTGAGCAGAGTTGCCAACTTGAGTTGTGATTAGAAAGTAACTTTCAATAAATTATTAATAGAAATTATTAATAAAAATCGGCCAATTGTATGTATGCTACGTGCTAATAGCTACGTGCTAATAACTACATAACATGCGAAAAATTCGTTTTGAGGCCTCAAGATGGTCCGTTCAAAAGCCGAAAAACTGTTTTTTTCCCTTTTATTTATCTCTACAATGTGTAAGTACGTTGTTGGTTTCCATGTTTCCATCAAACCTGAAAATCCCGTATCCAATAGAGGATGCATTACTCTTAAGAACTGTCACTACTGGCACCAGAAAAATACGCCCCTGTAAAGGTTAGGTTCACCCCGCACAGTTCCAAAATGAAGAGCAGAGGCGAGTTCTTGTTTTAATGCGCCTCAAGTAACGACGATATATGTCGCCTTCAATTAGCGGCGATGCAACAAATCATACGCTTGCGTCGTCGCGTCTTGTTGAGATGGCGCGGCGCCTGATGCAGCCTCTTCTTGCGTGCCACCCTCAACCCGGCCCTGACAGTCATCACCGGCTGTACTTGTGCCCTCTAATGCCGTAATTGAAATCTAGGTTTAGACGATATTTTCAAGTGAAATGCACGGAATTAATTTGGAAACTGAGTAAATATTTCTAACTATGTGTTTGAATAAAAGAAACGGCGACTCAAGCAAATAAAACCTCATTTTCTGTCATTTTAAAGCATTTAAATGCTACGTCAGCTATTTTTTTTCCTAAGAGTTTCATAAAACCTGGAATGGCTGATTCATTCAATTGTGGATCCTCCAGTGGCCCTGCTGTCCCTTTGAAGGTACCCTATTTTAGAGCACTCAACTCTGGTCTAAAACCGTGATACTGGACCCTGGGCGCCCAACGCGACGCACGACGGCGCGCGCGCGGCGATCGGAGAACTGAGAGCACCTACCGAAAAATGGTTCAGAAGTGTCAACGTGTGACCCAAAGATCATAAGTGACGTGATGCGTAAATGACTCAAGCTCTGGTCAGTGGTCAGTGGTCAGCCCCACGGCCCTCGGCCACGAGATGAGCATGAAGCGTCCAGCCCACGTCCAAACTGGGGGCTTCAAAGAGACTCATCGATCACCCCGACTTGCACCGCTGGCCAATGAGAGAGCCAGGAAAGACATCGGTGAACCACTTTGAAGCCTCCAGTTCGTACGTGGGCTGGGCGCTTGAGCTTTTCAAGGATGGCAACACTGCGAGAGCGAGGAAGCGACCGGCGAAGAAGCCGGTGCGCGTCGCGACGCGGCCGGCGCGGCAACGGCGAACCCGGGCTGGAGCGGTTTAAGGTCAAGGGCCATCTTCTGCTCATATTGGCAGGTTCGGGTTTCCCCGCGGTGGCGGCGGCGGCGGCGGCGTTGGCTTGACGTGACGCGGCGGGCGCGGCGGCGGGGCGCGGAATTGTGCGCACATTGCAGGCGGCGCGCCGGGCCAGCGGGTAGATCGGCTGATCGCCCGTCAGTTATCAACTTCGCGGCACTGCTGCTGCCCGCCGTCGTCGTCGCGTCTCGCGTGTGCTCCGAGACTTGATGTTTCAGTGCTTCGGACTTATCTAACGCCGATCTAGTCCGCCTGCCCGCCAGGATGGCCCTCAAACACCCGCTGACCTCTTTGAGTAAGTCCCACTTCAAAATTACCTCCACCCGTCGGCGCCTTGTTTTCGGTCCTCCCGAAACCGCAATCGTGACATGTCCATGTCCGCAGTCAGCACTGCCGTCCTAAGGAAAAACGACGTATGAACATTCCAGAGTTGCCAGATTTCCTTCGATAGAATGTTCATTTTTGAGGAAAGTTATTGATACCTGTCCTTGAAATTTTTTCCGAAATTTAGGGGAAATTGCGAACAAAATTTACTATTAAATTGGAAGAAAAATATTCATGGATTTACCAGGAAATTTGTGGTTTATCAAAATAATTGTGGCAACGCCTGAAGGTTCATACGACGTTTTTCCATAACACGGCAGAGCGTCTTTGCGGATCGCACGCAGATAGCGGGTATTTTTAGCTCCGCGCCCATTAAATCAGATTCTGCCGGAGTGAATTCACGAAAGAATTCTTCCCAGGCCCACTCTCGTCACATCTTGTTGCAAGTTCAACCTTTGGCGAAAACCTGACGAGTATTTTCAGTCCCTGTTCAATTTTAACCGGAAGTTACACTCGTATTTTGAGTGTCCACTATGAGTCCACATGTCATTGGGACCATAATATTTATCAGACAAGTACTAAATTCCTCTAAAATGGCGTTTGAAGTTCTGTTTTGACAAGATTGAGGCCGAGCGCAATCAGAGGTTTTAAAGCCGGCTCACCCGCGTTTGAAAACAATCCCGGATTTGAGGTAGGGCGAGTAGTGCGACCGCACAGGGTGCAATTGAAAGTAGCAGCAAAGAACACCAGAATGGCCTGAATGCGCACTGATTTTTACACTCTTCGTGAATTCAATGAAATGTTTTGTTCATTGTCGATATTCCGTCTTTCTGAGGCTGAAAAGTAACCTCGATGATGCTCCTAAGTTTCCTCCCGTAGTAAAACTCACTTCTTATTGGAATCTTTACGATTAGAGGGATGACACAACAAACAGCGTCATCGGTCACAATCTCTACCTTTGATACCCAGAGGCTCATCTATAATCTAGAATAGCAATAGAAGAGAAGATTTCCAAATTTTCCGGGAGAAATTTGGATCTGTTCCTCTCGATCAACCATCGGAGGTTTATCCAAGGGAGTCCCCCTATCCCCCCTCCCCCCCCCAAAAAAAAACAAAAGGCTGGTGGCCCTTCAGCTGCGTTTTTATGCCTAACACTGGGTGCTTTAAATTGGGAGACCGCCCCTGTTGGCAAAGGAGTGGGGACTACAAGTTATGGCAACTTGTAGTTTCGCCAAATGTAGATCATGACGTTGAGGTGCAAAATTAATGTACGTGTAACTATGGACCGGTCGTTTCTGACCAACTAGTACTTACCTCTGATCATCCCTGAAACTAAACCATAATAAGGCCATTAGTTAGAACTTAACGGGTTGGAGAACCTGTCAAATTTTAGCCAAAAGAAAAATTTTAAACCGTGGTGATAGAGTCGAGCCTAACTGTGACAGGTGAAGATCCCTTTTAGTTCGAGGTCGAAAGGCAGGAAGTTTTAGCTTCCCAGCACCCTAGCGCCAGCTTCACGATAAGTCGGTCCACGACCTTTTAATTCAAGTGGAAATTTTTCAGTTCAAAAGGATTCCAGACCTCAATAGTTCTTACAAGTTACGTATTTAGCAAATAAAAACACGAATTTTTCTTATTAGAAAAGGGAACCTTTGTCCAAACTAAGGTTAGTCTAGATCCACCATATTGTAGCTATCATGCATCGATGGGGTATAACTCCGGTTGCTCAACAATTGTGCCATTTAAATCGTATATATTATAGAAAATAAGTCTAACATGAAACAGGTGTACTTAACTTGAAACTGGTTATACACTGAGCAACTTGTAGGACAATTAGACTGCATTTTGCAATTTGGAACTATAATATCTAGACCTTTAGAAACGGTGTATGCACCATTAGTTTCCTTATGCACATAAGTGTTTTTACGGATTGGCTAAAATTTTAGTACCTAATTGCAAAATGTAGTCCAATTAAATTTGTATTTTAAGATATTTTTATTTATCCATAGAAGGAACTTTTCTTGTCATAAGTAAATGTCAAAGAAAATGACGATAAAATCACTTAGGATATTTGTAACAACATACCAACGCGAAACTTCACTGAATTCAAAAAACCGACCGGCATGATCCCCATTCGAAATCACCCTAAGGACAACGGTGGTCTGACACCGCACTCAACGAGGTAATTCCCCAAGATCAAAAAAACCTCTCATCAAAAACATCTACATAATTTTTTCCGTTAAAAGCAAGTATGCGACTGATTAACCGTTGCATAAGGAGCTGGTTCATACAAAAAACTACTTCACTATGTTTTAATTATCATGGTAAATTCCAAATTACACTCTTTCTTCGCAAGTTGAACGTTGTATTCATCGTCGTTTTGAAATCGTATTCACTTCAGTTGAAGATCTGTTAAAAACTAAGGTAAACAGCATCTTAAACACGTATCCACTCATTAGCAACGGTTATCTCGTCAGNGGGGGGGGGGGGGGGGGGGGGGGGGGGGTGAGTGTCCCCGATTCATAGAACACCCAAGGCTCAAAATTCCCAGCTCCAATTTCTGCATCAACTTTTTGGATTTTCATCGGTTGAGACACATGAAGCAAGGCAGATGTTATACGACGTCGGTTTTTCCCTCCGCGCCGTGTAGGAGCTGAAAATACACGTAGGCAGAGCGTATTTTCCGACAAGGAAACTATCCGTCTCTTTTCCAGGCAGCATTCCTGAATCGACGATGTGGGTAGAAATAAATTTGTCCACCCAATGCAATAGCATCAGGCGAATTAATGAATGCTGGCAAAAATTATGATCTTGAAATCTCTTTTTAAGAACTTTCAAGTATGTGATCGTTTATTCTTATAGAGGAAAAAAAACGCATGTTAAACTTGCTGGATTCAGAAGTTTCAGGGTTCCCGGTTCCCCTATGTATACACTCCATTGAAGAAGCCTCAGGATCGCCACGGGACCATCAGTGTCGGATTTTTCGAGGCCAATTCCCAGGATAAACATATACTTTACCCAAGCCTGTACGTCAATTTAGCAACCTGTTATTTTGTGGAGGACGGTTCTGGCCCCCATCTTTATAGGGGTCAATATTTTGAACAGGGTCGGACCAATTTTGCATTTCTTCTTGTCGATTATTGTTAAATTTTTCCTTTCCGATTTTGGTAAAAATTATGGCGGGAACCTCGAATTTTAAAATCAGGATCGNNNNGGGGGGGGGGGGGGGGGGGGGGGGTCGGGATTCTTCCATGTCTACTCTTTATACATTCCCGCGGTCTCCGACCTCCTCCGACCTACAATAAGACAAAAAGGATATGGAGAGATCCCATTGGTGGAAGCGGGTGGTTGCAATGGACGAAGGACGTAGGTATAGACTAACTAACGGCAACCCACGAGAGACCCTTTAGTTAGTCCATCATTTACCACCTTAGTCTATAAGAACCACCCATTTCAACCAATAGGATCGCTCTATACTCCTTATGTCTGCTTCGTCTATAGCTTTGTCTATAAATTTCAATAATCAGCCCGCTGGTACAGGTGATCCAGATCATCCTTTAGAATCTACAAATGTAATAATTACACAACTATAATTACATAAGTTATTGCAATAACTTGTACATGTACGTACAATTGAATTATACACTAACCAACTTTATGACCGCGGACAGCAGGTCCTAACTTAAAATGATTTCCCGTGCAGAGGCAATACAACATTTTGCACTTAATTTTATGTTTCGGGTTTGTTCGGGGACCATTGCCCTTCGGCAAAGGAATAAAGAATCATTCAATATCATAGACACTGGCATTTCCATTACTTATACTGATCAATCTATGCAAGGAATATCAAAAGCAGAGTGCCGATTGAGATAAGTTAAGAAAGGTCTTGATCAATAAAGGGTGGAAGTATTATTGCAGACTTTCTGGGATTTATTTCGGGAAATTATTGCGAATTTCGGGTTGTAAAAAGTTGATGAAAAGCTCACGATTTCGCGGTAAACTGAACACTGAATCAAACTTTACCCTTGAGCACTTTTATCACGCATCACGAGCCGTCAATATTGATTACTTACACGGTCATAGTATCGATAAGATTTCTGTTGCCAACTTGTGAAGAAAAATTAACAGGAACAAAGAAAAACAGAAAAAGGAACAGTAGTCAACCAAGTAAATTCATTAATCAATTTTATTTATAAAGGAACACACCTATTATTTAAAACAAACCAGATTCATTTGAAAACTGCAATTTTAATCATAGTTATTTTTATAATAATTTTTATTTGTTTTAATAGCTTAAATTTATAAAGCGTGATACTGAAGCTATTAAGATAATTAAAAATTTTAAAACAATCGTTAATTGGATTAATTATTTAGTTTAACAAAACACTATTTTTTCAATATAGAGATAAATAACAATTTAATAATTTTAAATAATAAAAACTTTTCAAAACATGGCTTCTAACTATGTAAAAGTAGTTCTCAGTTCTGTAAAAGTAGTAAAAGTAGTACCAACAGTTCTTAAAAATCTGATTCCTTTAATCATCAGTTTCTATAGTTTTCCCCTCATCTTTGAGGTCTATTGCAAGCCTCATTTTAAAAAAAGCACATCCTTTTTAGAAATAATTGATACTTATTTATTATTTTGTATTTTCTCCTCAATTTCGGCTGAACAGTTTCACAGCAATACAATTTTAATGAGGTACGGAGAAAATATTACTTTTTCATATATCGTGATCACCATTTCTGGTTCCCTCCCCCTTTTTGAGGAGCTTAGAGAGTTAGCTTATTTTCGGATTTCAGTTAATAAGCTTTATGACAAGGATTTCCGATCAGAACACGCAAGAAAAAATTCTACTTCCTCACGCCATGAAGCCATCAAAATTTATTCCTCGTTCAAAGTGCAATTAATCGATAGTGTAAAACTCTAGAGAGTTTTTTTTTTTTTTTTGAAAATATCCTCTCGTAGCCGTAATGATATGTCACAGAACGGAAGGCATCATGAGAATGTTTACGGCTTGAATAAAAGTTGTCACTTTCAACGACGAGACTCAAAGCATCGACACGGAAGATTCCCAGTAAACTCCATATCAGCAAGAACGGAAAGAACAGACCCAACAAAAGCCTCCCGACTTTTTTCAAAGACATCTTTATGAGAAGGGAACCATGAATGTACAGAAACATTTTATCCACTTCATTTCAATAATTGTTAAATACAAAACATTTTATGGTCTGTCTCGCAACAGGGGGATACAATGATTTTAATGTGCAAAATAAACGGTGCTAGCTCACTAGGAAGTATAGGGCTTTTGTTTCCGCTTCTTTAACAAAAAAAAGTGAGGGGAGATGGAAAATCAGAATAAAAAAAGACTTGGGAGGAGAAGGGAAGAAGAAGCGTTTACAGTTATTTCATAGCTGTCTCCAAGATTGTACTAACGGACATTGACAGAGGTCCAGTCAATGTTGCTCGATCTTGAAAAAAGAGGTAACCTTGACTTTGCATTCATTCAATCGCAACGTGGTAGGTGTGAGCTTGATAAAGAAGTGCCATGTCGTGCAGAAAAACACGCAAATTAACGGTGAAAGTATTAAAAATATTTATTGCGTTTCAAAAGTGCATTTAAATCATGTTTCGGCATGATTTAAGTAGAAATAGGGGATTTCTACGCAGAACTGAGGTTGTTCATGCAAGCCGCATTATTCCTCACGCAGAGGTTTCCTCTCCAACGTCAGACTTATGCTATCCTTTAGTTTTGTGAAGCCTTCGGAAAAACATGTACGCTCGTCAATCTTATCCATTTTTAACTGGCGGTAACTTTTTCTAAACTTGCCCAATTGTAGCGGTCCCTCTAAATTTTAACGAAATATGCAAATAATTTTCACTTACAAAGAAAGAAAACTGAGGGAGGTGTATCGATAAGGGCCGTTTCGAGTCCCATCCTTGCTGAATTTCCTCAAATCAACAATTTTTTTCTCATTATGACGCAATATTTCACGGAATGCATCATAGTTTAATCATTTTCAGTCTCTTCCCGGGCCTGATACTCGCCTCATGGTGGCTCTCATGGCCAATTTTGGCGAAAAATGCGGATTTTTCGGTACTCGACCGCAAACTCGCACAAAGCTTACATTTTCCGGCAATATCGGTCCTCGTATCCACGTTAAAGCCTGGTTCAGACCCGGAAAAAGACCGAAAATGACCAAATCAGTATGCATTCCACAAAATGAATACCTTTAAAGAGCAAAAAATTGTAGTATTGAGGAGATTCAGGGTTGGCCCAAACACGGCCCCTATCGATACTCCTCCTTTATTTATTGGTAAGAAGCTAGAGAACAGGGACTCCCAGATGTCGCCTCACAAACAGGAAATAACTCTCGTTTGCTTAAATATTCGACGCAGTTTTTTATTGACCGCGAAGCTCGACCCAATATCTTTACCGAAAGAAAGGAGGGCAGCAAATTCAGAGAAGGATGCAGGATGCCATCGCGTGTGCTCAAAACGGTGTGTACATCCTGATAAGTTTGTGTTTGAGAATGACGATCGTCAAACGACGAATGAAACGTCGACCCTCTTTACTAAAAAAGAAAATTCATCTTTGCATGAGCCCTCAACGGTTGTGGCTATTTGAAGTTTCCTACAAAAACGATTCTAATGTCTATTTATTAGCCTTATAAGGCAATTTAGATTTTCAATAAAAAGTTTATTTTAAATTTGCTAATAAGACACGAGGTTTCCTGTCTTCAAGGTGAAGGGACTTTACAGCAAGAATGAAGATGGTGTATACAGCCATTCGGAGTTGATTTCATATACAATCGCATAACTTTTTACCGGTGGATCAAATATGCGTCACGCCGTACATGAATTGCTTATCGAACAAATATAGCCAGAAAGCCTTCGTGTTTATATATGCAACACGGACGTCCCTGCAGAAAGAATATTTGTATCCCGCGAATGATCATTTTCGATCTCCAACAAAAATTAGATAACCCTTAATTTGGAAAAAAAATTCAATATATAAATCGTCAAAATTACATGAGTGAAATTTGATTTTCAGACTCAATAAGAATCTCACGGATGAACGAGATTTCAGACCTCATTCCTCAATTTGAACTTGTTGTAAATTAACGCCTTTTGTATCTGAGATTGATTCATCACAGTACTTTCTCCCTGAAATTTCGTTCGTGTGATTCACCAAAAAAGTACAATCATTTGCAGGTGACAAGACTTTTCCGCTGATTCCTTCGATCAGTATATTTATTTTGAAGTGCCGATTCATGAATTTCATTTCCTCCAATTTAAACTCACGGAGCACCAACATAAAACTTCCAATGAGCAAAAAAATATCCATAAGTTCATATTTCTTTTTTTACCTTTTGTCCGTCAATTAGGCAAAACTGCTAGACCTATTCTCATTCATTAAGAAATAAAACAAATCTTTACACAACAGACTGCCTTTTGCAGATTGCTTCAGGTGTGTATTATTGTCTCTAAACACATTCAATATTACTGTTGCGGAGGTCCATTTTATGATACCAGTAATCTATATTTATTAAGAATAGTTACCGAAGGTTATCGATGTGGACGATAATACTTAATAGTCCCAGGAAGTATCCTCGAGAACATTAATTTAGACCGACGTGGACAGCAAATACGTAGACCTGAGCATCTGCAACTTGAGCGAAAAAAGAGCGACAATTTAAACTCCGCGCCCTAAAAGAGCGTCAATTTAAATTTCGCGCCAATTTAAATTTCGCGCCACCTGTCTGCCGAACCTGATTGGGTAGAGGAAATTTGTTTTCGCACCGGAAATAGCAGCCGGAAATCCTCTTTCGCGCCAAAACAGCAATGTTTACATCTTACAATCATAACCTCAAATCTGTTAGCACAACTGCAAAAATTTCGAGTTTCTTTTCTTTACTTTCTTTTTGGATGTTTTACCGAGTGCCTTTATTTTGATGTCTAAATTACCTTCTTCTCTTCCGTTGCTGTAATTTATGCTAACCGTGTAAATGAGAAAGTTAATTCATCATATTTATTAATTATTTACATTCTAACTTCTCCATAACTTAGTTACTTTGCTGTAAAGGTGCCATATAGTTGTCTTTAATTAACATATAAGTGAGATATTACCCGAAACTACCAATTAAAAATGGATTCTCCTTCAAACACCAACGGCACTTATTCCAGTCAAAGGTATCTCTCTAATTGTTACTATCTTGACAAGGTTCCTGTACAGATCTTGAGGAAGACAAGACTGTCTGCGTTGGCAATCATACTGTGTCAGAGACCTACGTAATTGACCATACTTATGATGCTATAGATATTTTCAATCTTCAAACTTCCGAGGTTTGCATGATGCCAAATCAAGTGGAATGAACTCCCATTCAGTGGAGGTCAAATCTAGGGACGGAGAAAGCTCTTCGCAGCAAAACTCAATTTTTAAGTCTTCGCCTCCAAAGTTCTACATTTGGCAATGAAGTCGGAAGAGAGTGTCGAATCAAAAGTTTTTTAAAAAGAGCGTTCTGTTTTGTCCGCTATATAGGGCCTAAAACAGATGAAAACAATGTCTTTCCCTACGCACAAGCAAAGGCCTTGCTCTCAAGCATATTTTTAACTCTTGGCCATTTTAAGTATTCACTCTCTTTATCAAGTGAGTGTTTGATAATCTTCAGCTTTTGATCTTGCTGTTCATTCTGTCCCCTGTTTCAGTGAGTAAGATAATTCAGGGTAAAAGAATTCACCTTCAAGTTTTGAAATCTAGCTCTGCCATCAACCTTTAGGCAAGACCTACATGCAGGTCAGGTTTTATGTGTACCAGGTGGCCACTGCGTTAGCAAAATGACTGCAGAGTAGGATATTAAAATTTCTCTCCCTATTTGCTGTGCACTTTATGCTGACAGCGTTTCTCCCAAACCACATATCTCGATTGCCGTGTTTCAAAACCTCTGCTCCCATCTTATTTTTTAAGGAGGGATAAAATGGCAGCATACCTTGAAGTTTTTACAGAATTTCCTTTGCTCAGGAAAGAAGAATCACAAACATTTTGAAGAATTAATATTGCGTAGTTATCCATTTAAGAAATAAAGTATGATGAGAAGTCTGCTACATCGCAACCAAGAATTTCACAGTCTATGTGTGTATTTCCTTTGTGTCATAATCATGCTTCTTTGACCTGAGGTTGTACTTTTTTCTTGAAGTTCTAATACAATTTACCTATAACTGTGTGTCATACTGTAATATTTCATGGTCAGAAACGTACTAAGTCTATCCTTGATCTCCTCAATTGACCTAAAATATGGTTTTATTTATCAAGGATGTGCTCTTTTTCCCTCTCCTGTCAACTGTTTGATTCCTTAAAGTAAATCCTCATGGTATTTCAGTATATCAGATGGATAGCTAGGTTTGTTTCTAGTACTGTTACATTTTTTTTTCTTCAGAACATCAATCATAACATGTTCATGGTTTTCTATTTTTTATTTCAGCTGCATTACTTTTTCTGAAATACTGCATTGCTGCATCCATGGTGAAACCTCTCATTAGCAAAAATGTGTCTGAATCTGTCAATGATAAACTAACTCGTTTTGATGAATTTGACTGGGAACTTTGCAAGGTGAGTGGCAATCTCCCTTAATACCTTGCATTTATACTTTGAATTTGTTCACTTGTAATAATTAAAGCTCCCCATGCAAAAAGGGCACTTCTCAGATGTGGTGTCTCTGAATCTTAATTAAATTTGATTTATTTACCGTTAATTCATATTTTTGAGAGGAGGCCGTTGAGTAATTTTTTGTCAAATTTTACCGTTAGAGCATTGTAAAATCGTAAAGAATATTCAGTACATTTCTTGACAAATTACTTACATCTGCATTGATTATAGTGGATGAAATGCCAGTGGAGATTCTGGAACACTATAATCAAGAAGTACCCTTTCAGCACCCATCACTTTAATTTCACCTCATGAAAAGTGTTTAAGTCAAGGAGCTCAATAAGGTACAGCTCAATATGCTGTAGATTCAGAGTAGCTCTGGAAGAGCTCTTGGAGCTCCATTAGCTCTTTTAAAGAACCTTATACCCACTGGTAGTAAATTGGCTTTATCTTCTTAAGCAACAGTTACACAGCTTCTAGAACAGCATTGTATACCTTCCTGTTTTTTCATATCGAAAGGTTGCCTTCGTACCTATGCATTTCTGTACATGGGTACATTAATTTGTCAAACGCACGAGACATTAGGTTTTAAAAGCTTTCTGATTTACCAACAGCTTTAATGCTATAGTTAAAAAATATAGTAGATCAATAACAAGACAGACTATCACTGTTTTCTACTTGCATTTACAACTTGTTTTAAGAGCAAAAATTCAGACTCAGCAGAAAAACTTCATTTTTATCATTCAAGTTTTTACTTATAGATGGAAAAATACGAATTTAAGTAGTGTAGTCACTCCAGCAGCTGATTTTCAGAAATTTTTGTGCGAATGTTTTAATATTATAATGTAACTTTTTTTCATTTGTTTAGCTTGTATACAATGCCACAAGAGAGAACGTGCTCATATCTCCCATTAGTCTCAAATTACTATTGGCAATTTTGTATGAAGGGGCAGGCGGAGCAACAGCCAAAGAAATTGAGGGAGTTTTGCAAGTATCACCCCAAGAGAAAGGAGAGCTGCGGAAAAGATTCAGCCATATTCTCGGTGAACTCCATGTACGTCCACTCTCCTTTTTATATTTTCTGTCTTCCTATCATCACATCCTTTTTGTTCTTTTTTATGTGCTTATGCATACACATACAAATTGCAAATAATATACGTGTAAGCTTATAAGAATAAAGTAAAATAATTTTTTTTTATAAGCATCATTGCTGGAGACAAATTTGAAAGAATCTAATGTAAGATATAGACTCGATTTGTTTAAGACGTCTCATCCAGTAGATCCAAAGGATAGGAAGATGATTACAGAGTATAAAGACACAGAAAGTAGTGTTCCAATTGCCAGGGCTCCAGAAAATGTTGGTGTGCAAGGGCGTGATTTCTTGTGAAAGCAGTTGAAGATAAGAAAGCATGGGAAAGGATTTTTTTTTTTTTTTTTTTTATTAATGCTGCACTTTGTGAAGGGCACACATTCAGCCCATTTAGTCTTAGGGGGAAAAAATGTATAACATTTTTCTTCACCGGTTTTTGTGAAGAAAATTGTCAAGCGCTGTCTTTTCTTGAAGAGAAACTTTTAATTCAGAACTTAGCCCAGCACCAAGCTTTCCCATAAAAAGGGCATATTAGGTGAAAGCTTGTAGATTTATGTAAAAGCAAATAACTTTCCGGACCCCTGGATATTGCTGTTTGTAGTGACTCATAAAAAAGTACCTGATAAAAGGATTAAATTGTAAATTTAATTATAAGTTTATACTTCTTTATTAAAATTTAAACTAATAAGTTTAATTATAATTTTGAAAATTATTAAAGAAATCTTTAAAGAATTCTTTAGATAGGATTGATTTTTCTTTAGTCAGCTACACACCCAAAGCTAAGTAGAAGGACAAAACATGGGTTGTGTCAATTACTTTTCCACGTCCTCTTTTTAGAAATTCTCTAATTGTCAGTTCTTACTCACAAAAGCCAGAAATTGCTCAAGCACTTGAAGCTAAGTTTGAGGATTATGTCAATAAAAACTTTTTTTTGAAGAAAATCAGAAAAAATATGAAAGCATACTGATTTTCCCGTGGCTCAATAGCAGTGTGCTTTTTATCTTTTCATGTAGTGAGTAGATTTCCCTAGCATGATGAAACTTTGAGGCTAAAATTGCAACTAATCCTTTCTTCAATAAGCATTCTACACACCTGCTTACGCAAAAAGCATTGTAATCAACATAGCTGGAAATGAAGTGAATCAATAAATTTTATAAAATGGCCAAAAAAATTTTTATGACAACTCTGTATTTTCTGGAGGTAGAAAAAATGACTTATTTGTTACTTCATTGAAATTCTTTCAAAGAAATTTTTCGCCAACACTGAAAAAATGAAATTAAAAACATTATTTTCTCGACGGATAGAAACTCTTAACAGTAAATCGTATCAACCTGTTGAAGATTGAGGTATTAAATGATTCAGGAAGTGGCACTTTTTTTTTAACAAAAGAAAAGGAAAAAAATTGTATGCTGTTCTACATTTTAGAATATGTACTAAAACTTTTCTTATCTCTGAAGACTGAAATATACTTTATTTTTTTCCAGGAAGAAAGTCCAGACTACACCCTTCACTTTGGTACCAGCACTTTCATCGATAAGTCGATCAAACCGCACAGTGAGTTCTCAGGCAAACTGAAGCAAATTTACAACTCAAGTATCATCAAAGTGCCTTTTAAACAGCCAGACAATGTGGTCGCGGAAGTGAATTCTTGGGCAAAATTAGTGACTCATGGTTACATTGAAAAATTCTTGTCCAAAGGTATTGTCCTCAATTAATTATATCGAAACCTTATATGTAAACCTAGGGCTGCTTTTAATATAAATACTAACGGAAAGAAAGGAAAAAAAACTTAAATATTTAGGTGATTGTCCCAATACCGAAGTTGTTAAGGGGTCACAATAATTTTGAAAATTAGTGCAAATTTGAAGATTAGCGTCAGGCCCAAATTTAGACATTTGGAACTACTAGGACCTCTGGCGGGCCCATCTGACCAGAGGAAAATAGCAGAAAAGGAAATAAAGAGAGAGGGAAAGCAATCATTTTAACCAATTTTGAATGAAAAACTCTGATGTAATATCAGGCAAAAAAATGTAATTGTTAATCCTTTTGTTTTTCAGATGACATCTCGGAAGATGAAGTTTTGATGATGGCAAATATTCTATTCTTCAAAGGTTTGTGGCAGAAACCTTTTGATCCTAGACGTACAGAGCCAAGGGTTTTCCACATCAATTCCACTTCTGGTATCAAAACACCTTTCATGAACATGTTTGATGAATTTTATCATCTCAATGCAACTGATATTGATGCTCAGATCCTCAAACTACCATACCTAGTAAGAAATAAATTTCCTTGCCCAAGTCTCAGAAATTATTTTTTTTTGTTTGCGAATTTTAACGAAAGCAGTTCATGTATCCAGGTGAAGGCTGAGAACTAATTGGTTCAAGATAAACAACTAACAGATCAGACAACATAGATACAGCAACGAGATGAAGATAGGTTTTGCCATGTAGACTTTTTGAAGGGGAAGGAAAAAATGTGCAAATTTCTTGTGTAAATATTAGACTTTGCCATTAAAGTCATCAATATTTATGAGTGTATTTCCGTACGAAATAACTTCTAATTTTACTCCACCTACAGTCTGCAACAGATTTAGCTTTTGATCATGGTTTATCCTAACTTTATATACAAAAAGCTTATTATATTCTTGAGACCTCTAAGAATATTATGTTTGAAGATAAGGATTAGCACCAAGGCTGCACTTCCATCGAGAATTTTTGGTTTCCTTTGCAAATAACCATCCCAAATAACCGTGTATCCTGTTACCTGATAACTACTTTTTACCATTTTAACAGGGTGAGGAATTCTCAATGTACATCTTGCTGCCAAACCAAAAATCTGGACTGAACGAATTAATGAAGAAACTTCATCTTGGACTGCTGAGAAATCATTTTGCTCGTTTGACGGAAACCAAAGTGTTTGTCTCTTTACCAAAGTTTTCCTTTGACTCACACACATTTTTGAAGCCTTTTCTTCAACAGGTAATGCACACTTTTGTCAACTTTTTTCCTATTGTTTTAAATACATACTGTTGGTAGGAAATTGAAGGAAAGAAACTGATTAACACTTTTGTTCTTTGCTACTATCAAATCCTAACAATGAGCAAGTATAGAGTGTAATCAGGAAAAACTTGACAAATTTTGTGACTTAAATTTTCTAGAAAATTTATTGCATTTTTATTTTCCTAGAGAATGATCGATGTTGACAGTTATTAAAAATGTTTAACTGCCTCTGTTACACATCTCTGCAACAGAAAAAAACAGGTGTGCATGCAAGCATGTTTAACAAAAACTCAAAACTTGCATCCTGTTTTTGCACTGTCTACATTTTCTATGGGGGATGATGACCTTTCAAAATAGGTCCATTAATTTGAAGATGTTGTCTGTGTATTGACCAACTTGTTGTGATCAAAGCCAGTGTCAGGTGTCCCTACTCGGAACAAAACTATACACATTCTAATTTATTACCCACCATAATGTATTAAAATGCGTTTTCATTATCAGTTTTAATTATTATCTCTGCTCATGAAGCAACATTATTGACGGCATTATTTCTCCAAGTCAAAATTAATTTGATTTTCTTCTTTATATCATACTTATTTAGTGTGTTTGTTTTATTTTCTAACTGCAGCTTGGAATCAAAGACATGTTCAGTGAGAAAGCTGACTTATCAAAAATTGCAGCAGATCCGCATCACCAACTCGCTGTTACCAACATTCTTCAGCGAACTGGAATAGAAATCGAAGAGACAGGCAGCACTGCTTACGTTATAACAGGTAAGTTCTCATCTAGATGCATTTTCTCTCTTTTTACAAAGGGATTTTTCATTGATACAGGAACGTAGAGTTTCTAGGATCTGAGAAACATGGAAAGTCAGGAAATTCACAGCACCTGGGATAAGTCAGGAAATCAGTGAGAAAAGTCAGGGAATTTTGCATGTAGCATATCAGCTTGGCAACTTCAGGCAGTGCCATCAAAGAGAGTGTGCACAACTGCAGAATACCTTTTCACATTATTTAATCTCTAGAAGTGGAAAGTTCATCCAGAGTTTAGCTAAAGTCAGCGTTTTTGGAGGAGAAAGCAAATAAGCATAAGTTTTGTCAAAAGATCAGGGTATATTTCAATTAAGTTAGGAAAAACGACGAAATTTCAAAATTTTGGAGTTAGAGATAGCCAGGGAATTGAATTAAGGAAAAATATGAAAACTCTAATAAGCACTTTTACACATGGAGGTAGCCAAAATTATATAAAAGTTTTAATATCTAGATTATTAGTCAAGAAAGTATCCAGTATTCATCATCAAAAGTTTGATCATCAAAAAAAGTTAAAAAAGGAAGAAAAAATAACACTTTAACTCAGACCTTATATCAGATAAACACAATGTTGAAGAATTCAAATACATTTTATACAATAATTTAACAAAAAAAGTTTCTAAGCTTTTCTCTGGAATGGAAACTTTAATTTTAGTAATGCGCTTTTATCTGATATTTTCAGAGGCTCACCTAGCAAACAAATTTGGCGATTCTTACCATGAATTCATTGCAGACCATCCATTCGTTTTCTCAATTGAACATGATAAGGGCAAAATTCCTGTATTTTCTGGAAAATTGGCTAATCCAACCAACAAGTTCTCTGAAGTTGAAGCAATAACAACTTCCCCATTACCTGCTCCTGCCTCGACTGAAGCCCCCAATGATAATGCATCCACCACCGTCAAAATGAGTGCTGCACCAGTGGCTGCAAGCTCTAGTGCTGGAGGCAACGGAAGTGGACCTGCAAATGGACCTGTAAACGGACCTGCAAGTGCGCATGCAAATGGACCTGCAAATGCGCATGCCAATAGACCTGCAAGTGGGCAGTCGAATGCCAGCACAACTACTGAAGACGGTAAAGAAACTAACTGGAGCGATTAGTTTATCGTTTCTCTTCTTTTTGGTCACTGTTTGCTGTGCTATCTGGATTTGTCTCTTGATGTGAGGACAATCTGGTATTCCAGCATCCATATCATTGCATATCAACTGACTGCAATTGCTTAAACTGTGCTTTTGTTTTGTTGGTGTCAATGTAAATGGCAAAGCTTCTCGTTTCAGAGCATTACGCACAATTCCTGCTTTAGTTTAAAATAGAAATTTTGACTGCTTTTATTATTTCAGACGTGCACTCATGATTTTGTTGACTGTCTGGTTTGGTGTGTATTTCAAGATGAGTTTTTAGTCTCTGAATTTGTGGCAGTTGTTGTGATGGTCTTCGATGAGTTTCAAAAATATTCAGTTTATGGAAGAATGATGAGGATTTTATTTTTTTGGTTCTTTATTGAGTATTCCTCTAAGTTTTCTAACACCTCACTAAACCTGCCATACATTAATCTTAGAAGAGAGGAGAGTCATTTACTATGATAGCAAGAGTCCTCTGGACTAGGAATGCAGAGTTCCAGTGTAATGGATCCTCATTTGGGTTTCGCTCAGTACTTGAAGGCGCGCTCGTAGAATGTATGATAGCTCATCAAAAACATCCTCATTTCAGACACTTGAAGACTTCTACTACCACTTTGATAAAATATCAAAGACTCGTTGATGCCTATGATTTGAATCAAACATGAAGGCTTTTTATATGCGCTTAAAGAATATACATATTGGCACTGATGGTTTTTAGATGATGAAATCATTGAAAATCGAGGAATGGGTCCTCATACCTCTATCATTACAGTGCTTAAAACAATTGAAGTGGTAATTAAGGAAAGCAGCAATCGTTATAAATCATAAAGTATTTTTGCATCAGTGACTTTTGAGTTTTTCAAACTGCTTTGATTATTGTCATGACTTGGTGTGAGGACCAATGGTTTTATGCAAACTTCTTTAAAGAAATTCTCCTCTTAAAGATTATGTATCTTGAGTATAGATGATTGTCGTATGGTTACAGTTTAAATGTGTTTTTGTCGGAGGTCTTGTGTAAGTATGTGGTAGGTCACATTTGTTGAATGTTAAACTTGTGTCGATATGAGAATTGGTCAGTTAATTTTTTGAGCTCAGTCTTCGACTTCAAATAGAAAAAAAAAACTTCAGGTACACAGTAGCAAATATTTTGGTGAAATTTTTTGACTCATCTTTGAGGGGGAAAACGTACAAGACAGTGAATAATTTTAAAGAAATTCAATTTGTTTTTTCCCCTCTTTCTCTTTATAAGGTTTCATTCACCCCAGAAACATAGTAAAGAGTAAACATAAAGGAATAGTAATTAATTAGTTTTTAAAAAAAGCAAATGGAAAAAAAAAACAATCCACAAAGTAATATCCTTGCTATATTTAAGTGTGAAAGCAGAAGTTTTCTGGGAAGGTTTTGGCCAGGAGTGGAATTCCCTCAAAATATAACAGGCAACCAAAGTGTTGGCAAAGAGTAATGTAGAGTTCACCAAGAAGAGTTAAAAAATATGTAAGTTGAAGAGGAAGGAGACAAAAGTGCTGGCAATTTGTGAGTGCCAATCTGGTTTTCCCAGTGGCTAGAGAGTGGGGGAACTGAGCAACCAGCAATCAAGTGAATCTGGCTGCAGTCATTTTAGTGTCTCTCTGAGGCAGATCCTATCATCACCCATCCAACCAGAGATGAATGTGCTTCTATACCTCCTGCTGACTGGTAAAACATCTAGAGCCTCATTGTCAATTTCCTTATTCCCTCTCTTCATTTGCTGAGCGATTCGGCAGGCATTCCAGATTGTTGTCCCTTTCCCATTTCTTTTAGATTCATTGCAATTTTTAGATTCATAAGAAAAAGTTGCTCAGTGTTTTCTATGTTTTAAGGAATTTTTCTACAAATTTAATTTTCACGAAAATTCATTACAGCATGCGCAGCTACATATAAAAAGTAGTAGGCAATATACTGACTATAAGATTAAAATTTGGCTTTGCTTTAATTTTCCTGTGATAATTAATACCACTGAACTCTTTTTTCTCCAAAATCAGCATTGCTTCTCTTCCCTTTCTTGCATTTTTCGCACATATATCTTGGGGCCCTTCCGAGAACAATTTTTTTCGATTTTTTCCATTCCTTTTCCTTGAGATTACTCTGGATTTCTCGCTAATTTAATGGACATTCTTCTATGCTTGCCAAAATACTTTTGTATGTTCAATTCACCATCTCCATTACAAGAGAAAATGATTTCTGTGTAGCAAAATATTTCTTCCCAAGTCCAGAAGCTCTATTGAGGGAAATGAAGTGACAAAAATATTTTTTCTTGATTCTAAGTTCGATTATTGTTTTCGAAAAAAGATTCTACCAAGCCAGCCAAGTTTTCTCCCCCTCCCCCTCCCACTTTACTATTATTCCGTAGAAAAAGCAACAAAGAGAATATCATCTTGTTCGATTTTTGGGCCAATGATAGTATGTTCACCTGGTTTAACCTGTTTCATCCAATTTTAAAGATTGGCCTTTTTTTTCACTGTCAAATGTTGCTCATTTTTTTTTAATTTTGCCAAAGATTAATGCATGTGTAAGTATCTAAAAGTCAAGTAGAACTGTGCTGAAATCTCTATAATGAAAGGATAATATACTGTTTGATTTGAAAAACGATACATTAACTAACAGTATAAACTAAGTACAAACTACTCTCAGACTCACAATTATGTGGTTACTGGTCTTGTTGAAATCTGTAGCCGTAAATTCACAAATGCACGAGAATAATTGTCAATTTTCAGGACTGTACTCTATTTAAGAAATAAAGTTTCTATGAGCCTGGAAGATATTTGTTTTGCTTTTGCCCCACGATCCCTCAGCTTATTCAACGCAAATTAATGGAGTCTTAAGTTCCTAAGGCCTACAATTTTTGTAATCAAAATTGCCTGCGTAAACAAGACCATCGGCCCGAGGAATATGATTTATAGTTAACTTATCCTGTAATTTTACTGTTCACTTGCTTTGTGAATTTACGGATTGACTGGTTTCATGAGAATGTGCATTTACTTGAAGAAAAAAAATTAACGCAATAAAAGTTAATCATCTGCTCAGTGTCTTATCTAAAGGGCGGATTTAATCAAAATCAAGCTAACTGTATTTCAAGTTGCCAAATTGTCTTTCTTGTACCCTTTTTTTCTACTACGAGATTACCAAGTAAGTGAGTACGTATATGCCTTGAAACTGTAAGAATATACCCTTGATTATGAAGAACGTAACTCAAAAAGTCAAGTCAGAATGTTGTTTAATTTTTTGTCAAATCAGTAAAGTATGAAAGAAGATTGGGCAACGTCTATTGTAGTTCTGGTTAAATCCGCCCTATTGGTAAACATATTTCCAACTTTTACTCATGCATCAAGTGTAATATCTCAATCCAAATTTCTAATTCTGATTGCGAACTTTTCCCTCATTGGGTCTTTCTAACTTTTTTTTCTCAAATTAAAACTTAAGTTTTAATGCCAGATGTAATTAAATGATTATTTAAAAAAAAATGAAAAATCTCATCAAACTCAATGCTTAAGTCCCAAGCTGTTTTATTTATGCATGAAGGTCAAAGGTTTTTGCTTGAAAGCTTTTTTAGGTGCTAGAAGTAAAGAATAAAATTCCATGAATAGGAAAAATAAATGAGAGAAAAGCTCTAATTTTAAATCGCCATGATTATGTGCAGTTATACTTTCTCTTGTGCAAGCTTTTTTTAAAATGTTGTGCCGTTTGGATGACTCTAATTATTCAGAATAGTGATTGATTATTACTGTGTGGATGAATTGAAACAAATTAGACATTCACCATAATGTTTAAATGTTATCATATCATCTAGCTTCAATATTAGTGTAAACAGCAAGTTCCTAATCCAAATGGCCAATACCTCATAGCTTGTAAATGTACCTGAAAAGCCTTTGCCTTTCAGAACTGAAGCCAGAGGTTGTCGTCTGTAGGACAACTATTAAATCTTGGCTTAAGTTCAATAAGTTGGTTTTAAAGAGGCTCATTTTGGTCCACTTTGTGAATCCCAAGCTGCCAAAATTAATGCAACCAGTAGCTACATGAAAGAGTTACTCTTCAGTTTTAAAAAAAAATTGTAAACACAGGCAGTCAGTCAGTTTTTTTGCTTTAACTTTCCAAAAGTTGATTTCAAGTAATAAAGTGAGCAGCCTGTAATGAGCCTCAAGATCTTAGTACTTTATTTATCGCAGAACTCTTTAGAAGACGGTTTAAAGAGCAACTTATTTTTCAAACATGGTAGTACAAAAATGAAATTAGATTCTCAAATTCTCAGTGCAATGGTGTGTTCAAAGCCAACCTGTAAGGAAACTGATGCTTATTCCACTTTTGTTTAGCCAGCAATGTGCTAATTCCAGCGCCTCAATCACAAGGAGCTTCTATCGCTGCACCTGGATCATCTTATGCTGCAGTAGCAGGAGGAAAACCCACTGCTTCTTCTGTGGCCCCCATGGAGTTTCTGAGAGATTCATCTTTTGACACCAACCTCTTACAGGTACCTAATTATAGTCTTAGATACAATTTAGTAAGCCTGTTAACAGGTGCGATATTTGTTTTTACAGTTGTTTCTAGTCTTTTTAGCCCGATAAAAAAAATTTCATGCAAAGGTATATCGTATGTTTGATGTTTTGAAGCGGTAAAACGATTAAAGCAATCAGGAAACAGGTTTCTACCCTCATTGAGGGAAGTCAGAAGGAGCAGCACGAATTTAAATTAGAATAGAATAGAACAGAAACCATGCATCGAGATAAAATTAGTTTCCAATTGAGGGCCTTTAAGGATGAGGCGCATAAGTGCACATTAGTTTTTGCTCTTTCAAGAAATACGTCTTTGAAGTTTCGAAATTACATGGATCCTTATGGCAGAAAGAAAGTTCAAACTGACTTTTTGATGCTTAAAAATAGAAATTTGGGAGCAAATTTTTCACAGAATATACATCAGTCTAATTTTACTTGAAATCATTAATGTATCAATTTTTTCAAAAACTGCACTTATGCGCCTTGTCCTCCAAGCCCCTCATTTTTAACTCTTAGAGGCTTTTCAAGAGTAATGTGTTCGTTGCGTTTTTTAGTTTTTTTTCAGACTTATGCCCACACTTTGATCACACACATGATCATAAATTCTCATTTATTATATAAATATTTACCTACAGAAGTTTCCAAATTGCTACATTCTTAAGGCATTATGTACACTTACCTAATGAAACATGATCCATCATTGTAGAATGCACTGCAATGGTCTATTTGAAAATATTGTAGTACCTACCAGTCTCATATTTATGAAAATAATCAAGAAGAAATTAATATTCCTCCTTCAAAAAAGTTGTTCATCCATGAATAGAATAAAAATTACTAGCGTTAATAAATCAATTCATTTGAGTCCAAATTTCATCCTATTTTTCATTAAAATTTCTCCAGTAAACCCCAAGTCCCGGGGGAAGAACGAGAATTTTCTGTAATTTTTTCTCTATTCATTAACTGACTGAAAAATTGTGTTTTACAAACTTCTTATAATATCATTGCACTTAGTTCTCCTGATAATTGTTTTTTTAGCATGTGGTCTTTTCATTAATTTAATTTTGTACCGAACATAGTTTGTAATTGATTCCATGTTTATTCCTAAATGCTCTCAAACATTTTACAGACATAACTAGATTGCAGCAGCTCACTAACTAACTTTGAAGTAAACTATTTTTAATATTCTACTAATAATTTTGTTTCAGGCGATTTTTCTTGCTAAAAGCAAGGAGAATATCTTGGTCTCTCCTGCCAGTTTGAAAATGACACTTGCCCTGCTCTTAGAAGGGGCTAAAGGAGAAACTGCTGCTGAGTTACAAGATGTAATGAGATTGCCCAGGAATGTTGCTCGATGGCAAGAGCAGCTCGGGAATTTCCATGGAGGCTTAAAGGTAAGCATAGCTCCTTCCATGACTCTGTATGTGCCTTTGAAATCCCAACCATACTACGCCAAATGCGCTTAAGAATCGGGCTGTGTCACCTAAAAATTAGGGGTCTGGGCCACTGTAGCACCGAAGAAAATTGACACAACCCACAGATTTTTTCAAACTTTTAATCGCAAAGCATTACCATACACCTTAATGCGTTTAATTTGGCTCCTAAAAATTTTTAGGCAGCTTCAAAAAATTGAACTTCCCATTGAATTCTACAATTTTAGAAGGAAGTCAAAACTCTGCTCTTTTTAAAAAACCTAAATGTAGACATGACTGATTTGCTTAACACTATACAGTTAGTAGTGCTGTGTGCAATGATCAATGCTCAATAATAATTGTTTCAATTTAATTGCCTCATTTGTTTTTTTTTTTTTTCTTTTTTTCAGAGGGACACAAAAAATGTGACAGTTCAATCAGCAAATGGTATTTTTGTATCTGAGGGTTCAAAGATCTCCCATCGCTACCAGTCAGTTGCATCGAGTAATTATGGGTCAAGCGTTGTCTCAGTGAATTTCAAAGACCCGAAATATGTCTCTACAATTGTTAATAATTGGGTGAATGCCAACACTCGAGGATTAGTTGATAAATTAATTTCCTCAGGTTAATTTTTTATTAATTCATACTATGGAACTTTCCTTCCTCTTTTCATCTCAGTGACTTATTTTCAGTGTAAATAGTATATTTTCCATTAGAGAAACAGCGGAACAATTGAGGCACAAGGTGGGAGAGGGGCACTTCGCTGTTGCAATTTTTTGGAATTTCTGTCACATATGTCATTGAGAAGAATCTTATGGGTGATTTCTCTAGAATTTTTTTCACAAAACAATGCAGAATTATGAAGAATATTCAGTTAGCATTTCAATGAAATGCATGCATTCCTTTCTTTACAATGAATGAAATATCAGCCAAGATTCTAAAACACTGCTACTAAGGATTAGTCTTTTAGCACTCAGCACCTCAATTGATGGAAAATCTTGCACTTCAGAGTAATGGAAGGTAGTGTCAAGAAAGACTCAAGGATTGTTCCTTTTCTGCATTTATTCATCCTTTCCATGGAATTAATTGAATCTTGGAGGTTTTTCTTCGGTCTTTGAGTGATATTTTAAGGCTTTTAAAAAGTTTTTAAGTAATGCTTTTAAAGTGGAAAGAGCATCCTTACTCAACATTCCCTAATATTTACCATCTGGAAGTTAGAAAAGTGTCTAGAATTGAGATCATTCAAGGCTATAATAACACCAAGACCAGTTATGGAAATGAACACTTTTTCTTGAGCAGTGTCCAATCAAATCAGTTAACCATGAATTTTTGTGTGCGAGTCGTCCTCAAATTTTTCTGCACATTCCTGCCTCCTAAAGAAAAGAGAGTTACTTCTTCATTGAAACGTTAGTCACAAACAGTATGACTGAAAAAGGAACTGTCCACACTAGCTAACAATAAGTGTCAATCTAATTTATTTACTCTATTTACTTATCATTTTTACCATAGTTTCACATTTTCTTTGACATTTTTGTATGTATTCTGTGTTTAGACGATATTGATGCTGATTCAAAGATGCTTCTAGTCAATACCCTTTACTTCAAAGGCAAGTGGGATCTAGGATTTTCCTCTAAAACAACATCGTATAGATGCTTCAACACGTTCGAAGGAAAATGCGTACAAACGCCGATGATGGAAACCAGTTCCTTTTTTAATTACACACAAATACCCTCTTTGAACACTCAAGTCATAGAGTTACCATACAATGTAAGATTTTGTTTCATTTTCATTCAGGAAGTCACCACCAAAAGGTGAAGAGTGTAGAAGGGGAGGCTTCTGATTGCCCTTTCCCTCCCATATCTGGTTCAAATTGGTACGGAAGTAGCGCAGGCCAAAATAACAGCTCTAACTCTTCATTAGTCTCTAATACCCAGTTGTTTTTGATATCTGTATTTTTATAGTTGTAAATTTTTTGCGCCGGCTACCAGCCATTTTTTGCCTCTGCTTGTGCAGAGCTCACTGCACATTACTTTTACAAGGTTTCAATGCAGTGAGCACTGCACAAGCAATGCCAAAGCAAAAAATTAACAACTTTAAAAATTCTTAACCTAAAATAGCTTCATATTAAGAGCTAATATAAACACAGCCTCTTATTTTTACCTGCATTACCCACATATCAAATTTGAACCATATCTGAGGTGAACAGTTAGAGACAAAAATGCTGGACTAGTCCTGCCTTTTTCCTTGACTCTGCTGGAGCTTCAGGTTAAATGCCTAAATTTTGTACTTTTAATGACTAAAAAAGGCGCAGATGAGCAACTAAACTTCTTGTTTCGTATTTTATTATGTTATTTAACCTGTTAGTCACTTACCTTGTCTCTATTTTACTTGCGTGTAGGCTGCGCTAACTTTTGATTTTGACATTCCTATTATTGCAGAATGTAAACAAGGAAACAGCAGAAATAAGGCTAAAATACATCAAATTATACAGGAAGTTTCTTAATTTGATGTATTTTAGCCTTGTTTCCGCCGTTTCCTTGTTTTCGTTCTTCTGTTTCTGTTTTGGGCTACCTGTGTATGTCTTTGTTTTACTGTATTATCGTATTTGTTCATTATTATCAGAAATACCCATTTGGAAAAGAACATGTAATAAAATCAGGCAGAATGAGAGTATTTTTTCATGCACAACAACTATTTAAGAAAACTGTTATTGAGGATTCATAGTTTTCTTCATCACAGATTCAAGCTAGCAGATTTTTCTAATATAGAATTCAGTCATAATGTTTGGGACTGTAAAGGGAGTGGTATGCTTCCAGGCCTTCAGCCCCTAAAATGAGCAAGATTGGATGAGTTCATTTTTAAAGATAACCTTTACTAAGTTTTCTAATTCATTTATTGCTAACCTTCTTTCCACATGAATTTATTGAACTTTTCTTTTTTCCATTTCATCTTTTTGCATTTTTATTTTTTGTTTACAGGATGAGCGATACTCTATGATAATCATGCTACCGCATGACACAGTTTCTTTCAATAAACTAGTTAAAGAGCTGCCCGGTGAACAACTAGAGTCAATTTTATCAACCATGCACATGAAAAAGGTCTTCGTTTTCATGCCTCGTTTCAGCTGTGAGCACACTTCTCATCTTGTGCCTATCTTGCAAGCGGTAAGTATTTTTATCTGCTTTTATTTTGTGCACAGCAACTTCGAAAATTCATTCCAAAAGATTTTGATTCTTCATAGCACTTGAAACTTGACTTTATAACACTCTTGCGAAAACCAAGTTTCCAAAGAAAATACTGCAGAGATGAAACTTGCTGAAATACTCGTATTTTCAACTCTCAGTCAGATATGCTTTTTTATTCTTATACAGAGTTCAAGTGCTCTAAATTATGTGTTAACTCTCAGCTGCTGAATATCTTTTGACTTTTCAAGAAACATAATTTTCTACAGTATAGCTTATAGCTCACCTCAAACCTGTGAATCTTTCTGGAAAAAAATGAGTACCTCTAAATCTAATTTCTACTCTTTTGTGAGCTTATCAAACTTTTGATAACATCTATTTTGATTCTTAAGACTCCCTCACCTTTCATTTCGGTGTTATGAATATTATGATTCTCCTGATTTCAGCTTGGTCTAAGAGAAGTTTTCTCACAAAGTGCTGATTTAACAGGCATCTTTTCAAGTGGTGAGCACCTGAGTGTTGACAAGATTGTGCAAAAATCAAAAATAGAGCTGGACGAACATGGAGCAGTTGCTGCATCAGCAACAGGTTTGTATTTCCCTTCCTCATTTCTTCAATCTTTGTGTCTTTGTGTCACTGAAAATATCTTGAATAGAAAATGCCAACATAATGCCGAAAGCAATTTTAGTCAAGTCATTTTCTGGAAATTAAAACAAGATCAAAGCTTATTAACATATTCTTTTGTCCATTCATACAGGACTATTTTGCAAGGAATATTTCTAGTTTAAATAATGTACATAAGACTCGGACAAAACTGAAAAACTTGTCTACATGCTTCGAAGCATTTTGCAATTCATGAGGCCACTAATCATTTTTTTTCTCCTAGTAGCCTAATAGTATAGGTGAACGAAGACAGTGTCTTATGTGAGGTTCTTGCTTTCTCTATTTTTACCTTAAAGTCGAAACAGCTGAAATAAATCCAAAATTATATGATGATATTTCCTGATATTTTAAGGGAAATATGAAGAAGTAAAAAGTGAGGAGGCTGCACTGCTCTATTAATGGGCCTTGTTAGACCGAAAATAATTGCAGAGTCACCTTTCCAATCAGTAGTTAAAACTAGTATCGCTCCAAACAGCATATGTATCATATCCCTCTAGCGAAAAATTAAATCCTGTGAGTCTATTCCCAACTGGAGGTGCAGATAGTTCAAATCCTCATCCCATTTTGATCAAAAATTCTGTTCCTCATAAATTGGACTTCAGCAATTTTTCTCTTTCTTTCTTTCTTTTTTTGATACTTATGTGTTTTGAATTTTTCAGGAACTTTTGTGATTCCACTCAGCAGCTCGGTAGCCACTTTTGATGCGGACCATCCTTTCATCTTCTTCCTCAGGGATCGAGAGAGTGGCGCCATTTTATTTGAAGGTATTCTCTCAAACCCGCAGGAATTTTCAGAAAGTGTCCGCCCTAGCGAGTCGCACATCCAACCTCAGGTTGCCAACAAAATCCCTCCTCCAGCCTCCTCTGTCTCTGCTGCTTCAAAACCAAACCTGGCACAGTCAACAGATAATCAAGGAACTCTACAATCTTTATCAACATTTATGAATAGCACGCAGTTTGGGTTCTACAATTTGAACCAAAATCAAGGTGCGAATAATCTAAGTGGGAGCAAAGAGAAACCGACTGTCGCGCCAAAAATTCCCGAAATAACTGGTAACAAACCTAGTTCAAATAGTCATGTTCAGAGCACAAAAAGACCTGTAGTGCAATATCCTGAGTCTGAGTATTACCAAAAACCAATACCTAGTGACCAAGATGCTATTTTATTCTCTGCAAATCAAACAAATCAAAATACAAATACAAGAGTTCAAAATCAAAACACAAGGTACAGGCTGCAAGGTTGATGTCTGTTGTGCCAATGCAAGCGACAATGTTAGCTCATAAGATGAATGTATCATAGGCCGTGACAGGTGGCCTCCTATGAATCAGTTTTCTTATTCATTTGTGAGTCTATGATATGAATATTGTCCAATTCCCTCGTTATTTTTTGTTCATGCTTTTTGCTAATTCGTTAACGTAGGTAACTTCTTTGTGAAGTAATCGTCCTTTTTTGTTAGTTTTTTATATCTGCTTTTTGCAAGCTACATGGAAAAAATAGCAAAATGATCTTTGTTACACCTTTTCGTAGTCTCTGGTTTGATCTATAATTTTCTTGCTTGTCAGTCAATTTCTTATTCCATGCACCTAGGAAAAATTAGACATAAGTGTGCACAATTTTTTTAAGCATTTTTTTAAAGTTTCAAGCAAAATGAATTTACTCTTACACTCTTAACATGTACTATATTGTTCTCCTTTACACTTTCAAAATGTGTGGAATAAGAAATTTCGAAACTGTTTTTCCTAAGTTGGTTTTATTTATCTATCTTTATCAGTTGGGTTTCATTGAACTGAAGTCTACTGAAAAAAAGAGTAAATATTAAAAAGATGCTTAATTACTGTCACAATACAAAAACTGTATATTCTTTTAACATTCGTATGATAGATAGAACCTCTCTCCACACTGGCATCCTTATGATTATAGAGATTCAATATTGAGGAGCTTACATACTGTAATTGATGAAGCCAGCAAATATTTTGAATCTGTAAGTTTTTATTAGCTATGTATTAATGAGCTTTAACAAATCGATTTTATGATCCCTCATCACCTGTTTTTTGTGATTCTCTATTTTTGTGGAGCATTAGGCATTCCTTTTTTTGAACAGCTACTTCCATTTCAATCTCAAATTATTTCCAGATCCCTTTTTTTCCTCTTTTTTTTTGTTTTTTTTTTTTTGTGCGTTTTAACCTGGAAACCCCTCTTCATGAACCAAAAATTATTGTAAACAATTGATGACCTCCCAGGTAATGTACCATTGGAGTGACAAAATAGAATTTTTCGACTCCTTAGAACATTTCTAAGCCAGTATTTGTCAGAGTGTTTTTACAAAATTAACAACTCTTAATAAAATATAGTTCTCTACTGAAAGCTTTCTAGTAACTTTCTTGGCAGGTAACTTTCATACAGCTGTCAGAATGTATCTCTAACGTTTAAAACGACATTCGGAACAAGGATTATCACTTGTTGAATTGATGACTGAAATGAGGATGCTTTATACCATTTAATTTTTCTTGAAAAATGAAAGCTCTGAAAAACTTTTAAAATTTCTAACATTTAAATGTGCCTTTACAGCAGTTGACGGACTCAATTGTTAATCTGTTGTATCCCATAGAAAAGTAGATACAGGCCCTGTAATTTTAGGGAAACCATTATAATATCTAAGAAAACATTTGTTAGCTTTTGTACAATCCATTTTAAATTCTGTGATAAAATTAGAAATTTTTTCCAAGTCCAGTTTTATTTATTTAAATCTGTCTTCTTCATTTTGTGGCATTATTTTTTAAGTGTGTGAATTTATTGTAAATCACATGGAGTCATTTTTAGTTTCCTTAAATCATTACCCAGTAATGTCATTTTGAAAAGTATGATCCAGCTATAAAGCTAGAAGCGTTTGTAAGTTTGATTCTTTGTGATTTTCTCTAAAAAGGCGCTGAGTGTCTTTTAACTCTCTTTTGAGTCACATGCTTACTTTTGTTACATGTCTAGGTATAGTTGAATGATGCCTTCTCATAACTGTGATATTTTCATTGCAACTTACTAAATATTATCGAAACAATTTTATCTTCCTTTCTCATTATTTAAGTTGAAAACTCTACTTGGATTAAGCATTGAAATGCTTATATTAATTGAATTTTCTTATCTACTTGTCTCTTTTCGTTCCATACTTAACTCCCTTTTTTCACAATAAATTTTTTGATGAAAATTTTTAGATCTCTTTATTCTGTAATGCATGATGTGAGTAGTAACACTACCTATCTCTAGAATGAAAGTGGTTTTTTCCATCCTCTTGGAATTCTTTTTCTTTTCAAGCAAAAAGCCCCCTCCCCCCGCCCCCACCTAAAAAAAAACACATGTAAGAGCAAACCAAAGAAAAAACCAAATAGACATAACCAAAAAATGATAAAATCTCAAAGAAGCTCATCTAAAAAGATTCCTACGCTGTTATATCCAGACAACATTATTTTAAGATGGCTTTTGCAAACATGGTTTTAGGCATTATGTAAGAGCAATGTTTTACTAAGTGTATACTGCCAGTGTGGTTTTGTCAAAACATACAATTAGCCTTCAAACAATAACTGTAGCATCAACAACAAGAATTAATAAAAATGTCAAGTTGTGTTTGCTACTAAGCTAGGTCTCTAACTGCAGCTTTTAATGTTCAGTCTCTCTTCACGGCCGGCACTCCATCCGAACGAAGAGCCTTCAAATCCAAGTTCACGCAAAATTACGTACATAAGGTGCACGATTAGTTACATATTCGCCTAGATGAAGGCGTTTCCCCCGACAGCACTGATGAAAGTCGAGTATGAGCAATTACATCAGCATCAAAGTATCTCTACGCACGGTGACTTCAAAATTATTAGTTCGGTTTCATAACGTAAGCAGTAACTTGGATCTCCTTATTTACCTTTTCATCAAAGAGAAATGATCAGTGTAGGTTTGTGATGCTCTCCTCCAAAATGCATTGATACTATCGAACGATTATCCATTGGAAATATTTGTCTACATTGTTCTTGACTGCGCTCAGGAAGCTGTTTGTAACATCAAGGAAGCGATTAATAGGGCCAAGTAATAATTTAGTCTTGACAACCAGAACAATTTCATGTCGACAAGGAATCCCCGGGACCTTTCACAAAATACGTACGTAATACTTATAATTTTGGATTTTTCGATCCCCTTACCCCTTCCTTTTAACACTTCTGTGACGTAGGTTCCTGTCCTTTAACGCTTTAAAACAAAATGGAGTAACGCTCTCCAAGACCCACTCCCCCCCCCCCCCCCCCGCCTCCAGTAAGTGATACTGGAGGAGGGTCTGATTGTTGAATTTCATGCCACACATTGGATCGAGTCAATGGCAAAGGTTGTGGACATAATTTGGAAACTTTAAAAGCTTATAACTTCGATTATAAACAACTTTGAGGTTCTAAAAGTGGCTTCATTGGTTTCCTCGTAAAATTTTCTTCCCCCTGTACCCCTTAAAATTTAAAGTGTGAGAAAATAGTATCAAAATTTGCAGTTTAGGTCAAAAATTTCATGCCCAAGCTCTCCAATTGACTCGATTTCCTGTGTGCCATTGCGAAAAGACACATTAGGAGATAATCGACGTATCACACGGCAAAAATTGGGCTATGTCTTGCCTCATCTTGCCATTCTATCAAAACCAGAAAGGAAATCGATAGTCAGGCCGCCAAGGGAGCTCTCGTGAAAACGTAATTCACTTCTGTCATACTCTCCTCTCAGATCTCGGTACGCTCCGCTGCGTTTCTTAAACTAGATTGCATTTATCCAGCACACCTAGGTCGTCAAATGCATGTGTTTATGCACTTTGCGCATGCATACGAGTGGGCATTCAATGAGAGGTCCGAACTCACCAGTTTTCCCGCATATCTCTCCGGAACGATCCAAGTGCTCCTCCGCTAATTTATACAAACGGAACAGGGTAAAGAGCGAGTAATTTGTCGTAACTTGTAGGCCTCTTGGGCGGGGCGGGGGAAGGGCTGGAAGACAAGGAGCAAACCCAGTGTCTTTCAAGCGGAAACACGGTTCTGGTAGCAATTAGCTTCGTGGACTCCGTTTAATTTTAATGAACCACCTTCACCGGAAGTAGATTTTTCAAGCGGCTACCGGAAAAGCACATCAGCGCCCCCGACAGCCGTCGCATGTCGGCCTGCTACCGGCCACCGATCCGCATCTCTCTCCACTGACCCGCTCCGTTTCACCCGCGGGGATCTGAGTTCATTCCCTCAGCTCTGAGGACGGTCCGGGGGGCCTCCCCGGAGAGGTCTGGAAATGGAAATCGGGAGCAAGTTCGAGCTTCTTTATCGGAAAATCCTTTGTAATCAAATTTCAAAGATGACAGAAGTGAGGTGTCACGCAGCTATTTCACAAAATCCCAAACATTTTCCAGAGGGGCCAGGTGAAATCTTAAGGGAGGGAGGGGAACAGCCTTCCCAGCTCTTGCCTACGGGCTGATCGAAAGACAAAGCGATAGACATGACAATAGGAAAATGGAGCGACCCTATTGGTGGAAGCGGCTAGTTGCAATGGGCTAAGGAGATATGCGGTAGACTGATTATCGGCAACCCACAAGAGACCCTTCAGTTCGTCTATATATTCCCCTCAGTCAACAAATAGGATTGCTATATTTTATCTTTGTCTTTTTTGTCTATCGCTTTGTCTATTGATTTCAATAATCAGCCCACTGGTCACACCCATGATTACCGGAGAGCGGGGAAATCGCATCTCGAAACAGGGCCGGATTTACCTTCTTGCCGCCTATGGGCGCCTGTATTTTGCCGCCCCATCTCATTCGTTTTGAAACATCCATAGAATCCATCAGGTGGACGTGCCGTAGGAGGAGGGGTTCATAAGACCTGTTTACCCGCGTTTGGCACATTTTTTTGTGAAAGCCCTGTCAACACTAGCAAAAGTTCACGGAACTTTGCTCGAAAAGTAAGTTCCGTAGACCTATCTCTGTGTAGACGATGCCTTTCATTTCTAAGAAAAGGACGAAAAAATTATGAATAAGAATAAACATGAATGTGGTCTAATGATCTTAATTTCCGCCACCGCGCCAACCGCACTGTGTTTGGCGCAATGCGTGAAGTATCCCTACAGTCTTGCAGACGCTATGCGTTTCACGCTGACCGCTAATGACCAAGTGACCGCACTATCTTTGACACAATGCGTGAAGTATTCATGCAGTCTTGTAGGCACTATGGGTTTCACGCCAACCGCTGCTGACCGCACCACGTTTGACGCAATGCGTGAAGTATTCATGGAGTCTTGTTGGCGCTAATATGTGTTTCATGCTGACCGGTGCGCCGATAGGGCTTCCCCTTTCCATCTCAAGTTCTCGCCATCATTGCTCTCTGCGCCGTGCCGCTCCAGGCCAAATTGCGTGTTTGGTTTCCCGCTCAACTAGACTAATGAAAGGCGCTGCCTCTTGTATCACCGAAAGACGAACAAATTAGAAATTACTATACTTTAACTCTCAGGAAATGAGAGATTTTTTCGCCTTTCCTCATTTGTGATTTTTTTTTAATCAGATTTTTTTTCTTGATACCTACATTTGAAAAAATTACAACATTTGCCACCCCCATAAATTTGCCCCCCAACATTTGCCCCCTTTGCCCTGTCTCGAAAATCTCCGTGATAGACGTCGTTACACTGCATTAATAGGACGTATTTATGCTAAAAGGAACTATGTTCATAGCGTTTGCGTGCAACATAGTGGGGGCTTGAAACTAGCAAATGCTAATCTTTGGCCTAGAGCAAACGACGAATTTGCGATTTTCAACGCCAATAGAGGGAAATGAGACAACCAAGACGGTAGATGTAGTACTTCTAAATGATTCACCAAAAGTAACTAAAACTTATATTTACTTTACTTCACACTTTTCCAGAGAATGATCCTCGTAAATTAGATATTCCCAACAGAGTTTAAGAAAAGATCTTACATCTTAGCCGATTACTTTGCAGCGAAGGAGACTGAGACAATTATTAGTTCTGTGACAGTTGCAGGCGACACGGCAGAGAGAGCCGGACAACATACGCAATCGTTGAACGTTAAGACCATAGCATATTTTAAGCAAAATTTACCTTAACGTTTCTTAAATTACAAAAATAAGGAGCACCTCAACGCGGGTTGATGAAGGCGCCGAGATACAACTGTTCGTGCTTGATGGATGTCCGTATTGCGTCTGCAGTTCTGAAGGCGCGATGACGCGAGGCATGAACTCGCAATGCTCCGCTCTGTGCTGCCAATGAGGTTTCGCTCAGGTTTGGGAGAAACGTTAAAACACGAGGCCGGATCGCCTTTTTCTATCTTCGGCTGTGTTACTCACGTAACCCTTGAAGCCCAAACAAACATATAAAACAAATAAAACAAACGGGAACAAACATAATCATAAAAAAGGACGCGTGCTGATGACGGCGCAGAGATACAACTATTCGTACTTGATGGATATCCGTGTTGCATCTGCAAAATTGAAGGCGCTATGGCGCGAGGCGTGAACTCGCAAACTAACGATAAACTGGTGATATTTTTCACTGTGTCCTCGGGGGAAAAGAAGGAAAAAAAAGTTTGTATGAGCGTTTTGCATATTTCAGAGGAACTATCCAATTTCTCATGCGTGTTCTTGCACTTACCTAAGTCGTCAGTCACGGCATCGATAGGAGAGGACGGATAAAGGAAAGGACGAAAGGAATCGGTTAGAACAGAGACAAGCCGAAGGTGAGAAAATTTATGCAATTTAAAACCTTATGGCCGATCTTCGATGGAACATCATAACCCTCTCAGACACGATTCGGAAGTTGAGGAATTAGCGACCGGCGAGGGACCGCCTCAGAACGAAATCCGAATTCCGCTTCTTTTCGCTGGATTATTGTCATTTATTGCCAGGTAAAGTAAACATTACGACTTCCGGCGAGGCTGAGCCTGCACGCCGTTGCCAAATTGCGAGGAAAGTAGCCGGGATTATGGACGGTAAAAATCAAAATACAAGCAGTGAATTCAGTGGAACCTTCTCCGAGGTCAGTGGTTTTTGGAACAATGAAACCAGTCGCTGATCTGAAATAAATATTTGCATTTTCAAAAATATTTTTTAAAGTACATTTAACCATTCAGTAAGAATGGAGTTATCAATAAATTATTCATCAACAACTATCATTCATGAAATAAACAGAAATTGCATCAATTAA